CTCTGTTTGACCATTCGATTGTGGGTGGTAAGCGGAGCTAAAACGTAAATGGGTCCCCTGAAGTTTGAATAGACTTTGCCAAGACTCACTGAGAAAAATAGGGTCTCTGTCAGAAACTATGGAGCGGGGAAGACCATGTAACTTTCCCACCGTATCCCAAAACACCGTAGTGACCTTGGAAGCAGAGTATTTAGATGGCCAGGCAGCAAAATGGGCACCCTTTGAGAGTCTGTCCACCACTACTAGAATAGATGTGAACCCCAATGAAAGAGGTAGATGTGTCACAAAATCCATTGTTAAGTCAGACCAGATTAAGTCAAGTATGCGTAGAGGTTGAAGCAAGCCATAGGGGGAGTGATTGGGTGATTTAGCTTTCTGACAAATTTCACATTGTTGCACAAATTGCTAAACATCTTTCTTCATTTTGTTCCAGGTGAATTTGGCTGCTAATCGGAGTGAAGTACGGAGAACTCTCGCGTGATCCCCTATCTTGGAGGAGTGGAAATCCTGCAGCAAGAGTGGTATCAACGATGAAGCAGCAGGAATGTACAATCTATGGCGGTGAAACAACAAACCATTTTGCAGCTACCAACGAGGCCATTTGGATGAATTAGATTGTAAATCATTATATATTTGTGTAGCATAAGGATCTTCATGTAACTCAGACTGTATAATGGAACTGTAATGAGATGTAGGGGTAGTCAAAAGCAGTAGAGTTGGGGATGTATTGGTAGCAATCCCTTCAAGTTGGCGTGACAGGGCGTCAGCCACAATATTTTGTTTGCCAGATTTGTATTGGATCGTATAGTTGTAGCCCAACAATTTCGCTAGAAATTGTTGCTGTTCTGGAGTTTGGATCACTTGTGTCATTAAGTGATGCAAACTATGGTGATCCGTCTTGATGATAAAAGAGGATCCTAGCAAATATTGACGCCATTTTGCAACGGCAGAGGTAATGGCGTACATCTCGCGTAAATAGGTAAATTTAAGTTGCATGAGCTTGGAAAGCTTGCGACTAAAATAGGCAATAGGATGATTATCCTGCAATAAGATAACTCCCTGAAGCATCAGCTTCCAAAACAAATGGTAACTGGAAATTAGGCAATGCTAAAATTGGGGCAGTAGTAAAGAGATGCTTAAGAGAAACAAAAGCATGATCAGCTGCTAATCTCCAATGAAAGGCATCTTTAGCAAGAAGACCAGTAAGTGGAGCCACAACCATAGCATAACCCCGAATAAAACGGCGATAGTAACCCGAAAGTCCTAAAAAGGCTCGTAACTGTATCACTGACTTAGGAGTTGGCCAATCGTGCACCGCTTGGACCTTGGAAGGGTCAGGACTAACCCCAGATGCAGATATTATGTGGCCTAAGAATTGGATCTCCTGCACCGCAAATAAACATTTAGTCATTTTAACAAAGAATTGATGTTGTCGAAGGGTCTACAACACCTAAGTTAAATGATCTTCATGGGCCTGAATAGATGGGCTATACACCAAAATGTCATCAAAGAAGATGACGACAAAATGACGCAAAAACCCAGTATATGGTTCATTGTGGCCTGAAAGGTGGATGGGGCATTAGAAAGCCCAAAAGGCATCACAAGAAACTCAAAATGACCACTGTGGGTTCTAAATGTCGTCTTGGGAACATCCACTGAATTCATTTTTATTTCATGATAGCCTGAGCGAAGGTCAAGCTTAGAGAAGATCTGAGCACCCTGAAGTTCGTCTATCAGTTCATCAACTGTAGGAATAGGAAATTTATCAGGGATGGTGATGGTATTAAGGGCGCGGTAATCAACACAAAAGCGTTATGTCCCATCTTTCTTTTTGACCAAAAGGACTGGGGAACTGAAAGGAGAACGGCTTGGCTGGATAATACCAGTGTCCAACATGTCCGCAACCATTTTCTCAATTTCTTTCTTCTGGAAATGTGGGTACCTGTAGGGCCTCATTTGAACGGGTTTTGAGTTTGGAAAAAGGTTTATAGAATGATTAAAGTTTCTGTCAGGGGGTAGAGACGTTGGGGTGGCAAAGACGTCTTGAAACTGGTGTAATATATGTTGGATAGATGAGGGTGGTTGAGGATGAGGTGCGAAAGAGGGTTGTGTTGGGGTGGTACTAGTGAGGCACATAAAGCAAGAAGATATAGACTTCTGAACCATCAATTTGTGAAACTGAGCATTAGTAATCGGTGTCGGTGCAATAGGCGAGTTCCCCTGTAAAATTACAGTAGCATCCAAGTGTTGAAATGTCATAGTCATTTGAGAATAATCGGTCACAATAGGCCCAAGAGTAGCGAGCCATTGGACTTCTAATACCACATCAGCCCTTTTGAGATCCAGCACATAAAGATCTACAATAAAGACATGTGACTGAAGCAGTAAGGAGATAGCTGGACAAGAATTGTGACACTGCAGAGCATCTCCGTTTTCCACCTGTACATGAAAAGGAGACACCTGTTGCAAGGTCAAACCAAGGAAATTAGCCATGCGCTCAGTTATAAAGTTGTGGGTACTACCCCCATCAACCAAAATCTGAACTGGTTTCCTTTTTAGAGAGCCTGTGAGCCGAAATAAACATGAACAACTATGGCCGAAGAGAGCATTGAAGCTAATTTCAGAAGTAATATCAGGGGTAGGAAGGTCCACTACCGCGTCAGAAACAACTAAATCAGGATCATCATCCGTACCTTCCATGTACAAAAGAGTAGCACGACCCTTACACTTATGGTCAAAAGAATATGGTTCATCACATGTATAACATAAGTTCTTTTCACGTTTCACTTGGATCTCAGCCGGTGAAAGCCGACGGATGGGAATGGCAGCCAAGGGATTGGAAGACGGAATAGAGGCATGTGGTTTGTTGGGTATGATTGCAGTAGAGCCAACATGGTTAGGAGGTGGTTTTGGGGGATTTGACCAACAACGAGAAGGCTTATAATCAGAAGATTGATCCTCATAAACTCGTGCCAGCGAAAAAGCCTCATGATAATCTTGAGGTCGATGAGTAAGAACGAGTCGACGGATATTGGACTTCAATCCCGAAATGAAAATGCTCTGTAACAATGGAGCTGTAAGACCAGGCACCTTACTCACTAATTTCTCAAAGGTGGATTGATAATCCAACACTGAACTAGCTTGTTGAATCTTGACTAAGGCACCCGCAGGGTCCTCAAATTCGGAAGGACCAAAACGTCGATGTACAGCCGTGCAAAATGTCTGCCAATCGGGCATTAATCTATTTTGGTTCGAACCATAAAACCAACTAGCAGCAGGCTCATCTAAATGGAATGCAGCTAAATTTAAGCGATCTGCTAAAGGAACCTGGTAGAAGGTGAAATACCTTTCGGCAGCCACGATCCAAGTGGTTGGATCCCCGGAAGAGAAATGAGGAAAATCAAGTTTAACTTGGCGTGCTCTGGAGAATTCATTCCCATGTGGTCCTGAGCCCAGAATTACGCGATTGGAATGTTGACTACCTGGAGATTGCTGTTGCGACTCCAGAAAACGAGCGAGATCTAAATGCAAGCGGTTCTGAGATTCATGCAACTAGTGCTGAGATTCCTGCAACTGAGAATTGGATTCCTGCAAACCCAAATACTGTTGTGCACGAACGGTTTCCGCTGCACGAAACTGTTCTTCTAACATATCCAGATGTTGTGTAAGATCCCTCAAACGCGTGTTTTCTGCCATAGCAGGTAGGATGAGGAGCAATGAAAGCACCAATGAAGGGTGTGTTTCAGATCTCGAAGAAGTTGAGAGGGAAGGATTCAGAGAAAATAACCACTTAGAGAGAAAAAAAGAGATAAGAATGAGAATTGTCCAAGCTTTTCCGTATATTCTGTTATGCCCCCCGGGCTTTTTATAAAGTTTTCTTACAATCCTTTTCTATTACAACGTTTAGCAATTAAACTCAAGTCTATTTTATCGAGTCTAGGCCTCAATGCATTAAGGACAATAGTCCTTTAAGTAAACTGGTCTTCTTCTATTGCGAATGGGCTTCTCTTCATTGGGTTCAAGGACTTGGGGCACAACAAATATCCTCTATAATAAGTAACTATAGAGAGTGTTACAATTTTTGTCATAATAAGTTGTTATTATTACTAATTCTTTGAATTATCCAACAACTACATTTAAATATTGATATATTCTGATTGGGTTTTGTCAATTTACTATTTTCACTAAGTACCATTACTCAATATCACAACTAAAAATATGCGGATTAGAAAAGAACATATCCGGTCGTATTAATTCCATAGTGAAGTGTTAAAAAGAAAAGAAAAGAATAGGAATAGTGTTAAAAAGCGGATTTGCTAAATTTTCAAATACAAAATTAGTGACACAAAAATTGATTCATTATATTTAAGCAACAGTTTTTTTTTCCTTTAAGCAACTAGTAGAGAGTGAAACAGTATTTGGGTAATTTCATTAGTGAAAATGGGAGAGAGACAAACGAAAAAAAAAAAATGGAAGTGCTTTTACTTCAAATAGCAGCAATTGCATTCATAGTTGTGAAAAACAGAAAATTTCCCGTTCACAGCATATAAAGTTACGCTTTTGCGCCTTCAAAATTAAGAAACACCTTGAATTTAAGGTAAAGTAAAATTCATAAAAGCATTATGATTCAAGCTTTGAAAATTCAAATTCTTAAACTCTTATTTTATCCCACGCTTTTATATTTTTCCATTTGTAATTTAAACGAGCTAAATATTTAACAAATTTTAGTACATTTTATTATTTAATCTCCTCTCATTTGCCCGTTTGTTCCTCATCTCTCACATATTCACCCGGCTAATTCATGCCTTATTAGTGCTAATTAATAAATTATGAATATAATGAAGATAACGGAAGTGAACAATGTTTTAAATAATTTTTGTTAGCATTTTCAACATTGTTGACTGCTGCTTACTAATTTTTCCTTTTATTAGTGTAAAACCTTATTAAGTGCAATCTTTGTGCTATATAGCATGAACATTAAAAACTGTAAAAAAAAACATTTAAACGGTGACTTGTTCATTCTTGAGTTCATTGAGCTGCTTCACAAGTGCATCCAATTGCTTATGGGAGCTCCCATACTTCTTTATAGCACCCAAGGCTGCGTCTCTCAACTCTTCAGCTCGCACCCTCTCTTTAGTCTTCCCCAGAGACCCTTCTATCCTCTTAGCCAACTCGCTCGGTTCTGGAACCTTCTCGGTCCCTTCTGCGGCTCGAATCGCAACGCCCAGCTGATCCACCAACAACTTCGAGTTCGTGAACTGGTCCGCACCCAATGGCCATGTCAGCATCACTACACCAGAAGTCAATCCTTCCAGCACCGAGTTCCACCCGCAGTGAGTCAAGAACGCACCCACGGCGCGGTGACTCAGTATAACCAACTGCGGGGCCCACCCCTCGATTATAAATCCCCTGCCCCGTACCCGATCCACGAACCCACTTGGTATCATGTCGGGACCCGTAACTGAAAATATGAAATGGACCCCACTGAGCTCTAAGGCACGTGTTAAAACATCCATCTGTTCGCTCGTGAGAACCCCACGGCTCCCAAAGCAGACATAAACCACCGAACCGTTCGGTTTCGAGTCGAGCCACGTCATCAGCTCGTGGCGTGAGACGGTGCTGGACCCGCCTCGGTCTTCTTCCGGTCTGTTCGAACCGTTTTCCTCAAGCGGCAAAACCGGACCTACGGCCCACACTCTTTCGTGGCCGAGTTCTTTCTTCACGTGGTCCAGATAAACTCGCTCCAACTCAGTAAACGAGTTGAAAACGACGCCCCAAGCGTCGAGGTTTAAGAGCATGTTTTCCCTGTGAAGTTCCCAATTGGGTCCCCCTCTCTCGCTCTCCCTGAACAATGGGCTGATCTGCCACCAGGGGTAAGTTGGTGAATTCGGTAGGTTAGGGAATGAAACGACAGAGTTGGGATCTTCGGGGTTGTCGTTTAGGGGAAGGTCCCGCCAGAGGGAGAAGGAGACAGAGAGAGCGAACGCGCCGGAGGGAGAGAAAATTATACGCGGCACGTGGAGGTCACGTGCAAGGTCGTGAGTCCAACCAAGGAAGAAATCCGAAATGATGGCGGAGGGAGGTGAAGGGTGGGCACGGGCCCACTCGAGGAGAATCGGGTAGTGTTGGTGGCGCATGAAGGTGATGATTGCCGCGAGCCTGTTTTGGTTCGGGTCCTGGTTCGGGTTAGGGAACTGAGGGGCAGGAAGAAGGAAGGTTTGGAGAAGAGGGGAATAGTTGGTTGGGACTAAGGTTTGGGTGGAAGGAGTGACCAAAACGGTGACGTATATGCCGGAAGAGACTAATCTTTTGGCTAGGTCGAGGAGAGGGATCACGTGACCGGAGGGTGGGAAGGCATAGGCAAGGACGTGGGTTTGTGTTGCGGACATGTTTGGATTTGAGTAGGTATGACCGTTTTGGAAACTGAATGGAATTGAAGGAATGCATATTTCGTAAGACAAGCTTCAAAGTTAAAAGAAAAGTTGAAAAAAGAATAAAATATTTGGAAATAATTGCTGGTTGAGTGTTTTACTTCTCCAAGGTCTTGCTTGAATTTTGTTCATGCGTTTTTTATTTCAGTCGTCACTACTGACGACATAACAAACGGAAAGGATAAGGACGTCTGGTTCATTCTGACAGGCATCACAGTTATGGAATAAATCTTTGGTGCTGTTGTATCAAGATTCAGTGCATCTCATCAATGAGAGCATTACACATCATAGGAGAGAGAAAACAATTGTCAGAGAAAATAAAACTTTAACTGACATGTAAATTTTCATTGGTGAGATGTACTGAATCTTTAGTGCTACAGTAGCACCAAAGATTTGTTCGTTGTGACGACATCTGGTTCGTAAACCACATATTATCGTGTCTTTCACAAAGTAAATTTTTTCAAAAAGGTTTCTACCTAAATAGGGGTAATGGACTAATGGTTACTTACCAAAAAAAAAAAATATATTTTTTTGGGTTTCTAACAAAAAATACAGTCCTAACTTTAGTTTCTTGCAAAAATAAATTAGTCAGTTAGTCCCTAACAAATTTAAAGTGGACCCATTTTAGTCCTTTTGAGGGTCTAATATGGATTATTTTTAAAATTGCGAGAGATCACGATTTCAACTAAATGGGTCCACTTTAAATTTGTTAGGGACTAACTGACTAATTTATTTTTGTAAGGAACTAAAGTGGAGACCGTATTTTTTGTTAAGGACCAAAAAAAGTATTTACTCAAAAAAAAGGGTAATCTATGATGCACCAACACTGACACGGGACATGTGATACGATACGACACGCTGACATATTAATTCTAAAAATATCATATTTTGACATGTTGGGACACATTTTGATATTAAATAAAAATTTTAATATATATAATATAATTTATATTTAATACATATAAGAGTCCATAATAAGTCATATAATCAATCAAATATTTAAATTTCCTAACATAAATATAAATAAAAATAATTTTTCGTACTTTGTTAGTTTTTCATGTTAAATTTCATAACAGAAAAAAATTAATTTATAATTTTTTTTATATTTAGTTAATAAAATAAAATTAAGATTAAAAAAAACGTGTCGGAGTGTGTTAGAGTGTTGACCACGAGTCGGAGAAAGTTGATTGCGTGTCGGAAAAATGTGTCGAAACATATTGGAGAGTTGACCGCGTGTGCCTAAATATTAACCGCGTATCGGTATCGGACACGTGTCCAAGACATAATTGTTTTTTCAAATCACGTGTCGGTGCTTGTTAGAGGGTAATGGTTCTTATATCCTTCGAGAAGACCAAATCTTTCGTACATCTGTCCAAAATAAGCAAAATAATTGGGACAGAAATGGAACAAAAATAAAAGTTTGGGTTTAAATAAGAAAAAAAATTTGAAAATTGATGTAGCCAAGTGGGTATATCCAATGTATAGAAAAAAATTTCTGACACAACAAATAGATGGGGCCATACTAAATATATAGGGCCCACTTGCTTGTTGTGTCAACGGGATAAGAAATTTTTTCGTAAGTACTATGGTGGGTAGACAAGGACACCCACAAAGTTGCAACATTTTTTTAAAAAAAATTGTATGAATGCCACGTGTGTCAAAAAATTTACCAAGTTACCATGCTTCCAAACTCGTTACAATTGTCAGCGAGTTTGGTTATGCTACATGTAGGGGTGATAAACAAATCAAGAGTCTTTGATCCGGCTCGTGAAGGCTTGAACTTACATATCTGAAATTGGATGTTGGAATCAAGTTTGGACTTGTATCAAAGCTCGTTTAATGAAAAGGTCTCAAACTCCAATTCAAAAATTCGGCCCTAAGCCTTTCACGCTAACCTAGTATACTATATTTATTTTTATTTTTTATTTTTTATTTTTTATATTACTCATAATAGCTCTCCCTCTCTCTCCTCTACCCATTCCACCCTATTTTATTAGTTAAATAGACTTTTTGAATGATTTTATTCTATATTATGCTGTTTGGATATATATATATATATATATATATATATATATATATATATATATATATATTGAATTTATGAATCTTTGTGGAATTATTAATGTTGTTTATCATATATTTTGTTTGGATAAATTTTTGTTGTCTTATTTTGTTTTAACATGCTAACAGGCTAAATCAAGCTTTTATTTTTTGTAAATATGTCAAACCACAAATAAATAATTATATTCATAATAGGTAACAGGCTAGGCCAAACTGACATATTTAAATACAGGCATAGCCTTTTAAGACAAAAATCCGACTCGACTTGGCCCGTTAACACCCCTAGCCACGTGACATATTTCCTAAGGGCACTAAATTCCTTGCCAGTTGCAGCGAGTACAGTCTTTTCCTATAAAAATGGATCATGTGTCACGAAATCATAGGCTACAAAAGTTGTTGTCAATGGTGGCGAGTTTAGACAACGACTTTTGTAGCCTATGATTTCGTGACAAGAGAGATAAAATTTAGAAAATTTTATCGTAAAATTTTAGAATGTCATAATTTTTTATTCGGATGTCCGAATTAGGTGATATTTTTCTTTTTTTGATTTTACGTAACTTTTCGAGATCTCAAAAAGTTATGTGGATTTAAATTTTTTTTTTCCTAATTCATAAAGTTATGACTTTCCAAAAATGAGTTAACTTATTTTGCCACGTGGCAGTCTATATTCACTCCATTAGCAACGAGTTTGATAGCCTAAGACAATGTGCCACGTGGCATAACCAAACTCGCTGACAAATATAATGAATTTGGAAGCGTGGTAGTTTAGCAAAAAAAATTGCCCGCTTGGAATTTCAACAAATATTTTTTAAAAAAAAAAAATTGTTTCGCATTGATCCATTCCCGAATATGTGGCTATCCAAATAATTTATTTCTGTATTTAAGTTTTGACTTTCTTTTAAGTGTTTTTTTTTTTGGGTAAGCTAGGGGGAAACCCACAGCACAAAAATAAAATTACATAATAGAAATAATCAACAGACGAGATTATTTCAGCTCTTGAAAGCTTTTGTTTGCAAATTGAGTTCCATTATCTGTAACAATCTCGACCGGGATACCAAATCTACAGACGAGATTCCTTTCAAAGAATCTTCGTATTCGAGCCGAGGTGATAGTAGTTGTTGGCTCGACTTCTATCCATTTTTGTGAAATAATCAACAGCTACAATTAACCATCGTAGTTTCCCTTTAGCTGCCGGGAATGGACATAGCAATTCCATCCCTCATTTAAAGAATGTCTAAGGAGTTGTGATAATGTTTAACTCCTCTGGGGGAGCTAAGAGATTTTTGTCATGCTTTTGATATCGATCATGTTTCCTGACATGCTCCTTTACATCTCCATCCATTGACGGCCAATAATATCCAGCTCAGAGGGATTTACCGGCTAAAGCCTTGACTCTTATGTGTTGGCCATTAATTCTTTCATGAATCTCGGACAAAACATATTCAACCTCATATGAGTTTAGACACTTCAACAAGGGTGAGTGTAATCATTTCTTATAGAGTTGACCTTCGTTCACAGTATATGTAGTTGCATCTCAGATTAATTTCCTACTTTCATTTCTTTCTAGGGGTAGTATGCTTTTTTCCAAATAGGCCACGATTGGTGATCTTCAATCTTCCACATCTGTGATCATTATTATGTAAGTCAGCTCTAGAATATTTTGTTATATTATTGTTCTATGGCGACCCATATTTTTGTGCTTACTAGCTTTGATAAGATGTCAGCTCTACTGTTTTCGCTTATGGGAATATGACTGACCTCTGCTTCTTGAAATTCAGCCACAAACTGTTTGGCTGTATTCAAGTATTTTGCCATCAATGGCCCCTTTGTTTGATAACTACCACCAACGTGCGATGTGACTAGCTGTGAATCACTGAAAACTTGAATTTTCTTTGCTCCCAATTCTTTTGCTTGTTGGAGCCCAACAATGAAAGCCTTATATTCGACTTGGTTTTTGGAGGTTGGGAAGTTCAGGTGAAGAGAATGCTCCACTGATACCCCTTATGGGTTTTCAATAATGTTCTGTCCAAATGACCGAAGTGTCTAACCAAGGGCTAGTAGATCAATCTATGATCAAGTATTCTCTTCAGGTATCTATGAATTAGATAACTTATGGTAACAAATCATTGTACACAACTATAATGGCGTTAACCAAATGGGTTGTATGTACACAGTAACAACATAACAATTAAAGAGAGAGATTATCCCATATCTATTAGCTTTATCTCCTATTTATAGGATTTTTACATATTGGTATATGAGTTCTGAGCCTTTTATTCATAAGTCCAATTATTCTTTTGCACAACTATCATGTGATTGTCCTTTGTTGGGATTTTAGATATATAGGCCTTATGTAGGTCCGTTTCTTATTTTGAATTTTGGATATTATAAAACTTTGTTTTTATTCCCTTATTAAGGCACTATAATGAATGATTATCAACAAAATTTAAAGTTTGAATTGTAATTTTCTTTGTCCATGTGTATAGCCAAAATATGAAATTATAATTCTTTTCAATATATTTTAAATACATGTAATGAATTAAAAAGATGAAATATTAAAAATATGTATACTCCCCGGTTCGAGAATAGATTCTACCATCGAAAAAGATTATACAATAAGTAGAATTTATTTAATACGAATTTTAACTTTAATTGACTAGGTTTCAATAAAGCATATTCTTTAATTATCAATAAGTAAGGTGCAATTTATTGTTTAATGATCTAGTTTTGATTTTGGTAAATCATGTTATTTAATTATCAATAGTACAATATATTTATATGAGATATCAAAACAAATTTGATATAGGAGGACAATTTCAAAGAATTGGGGTATTCTCAATAAAGGACGATTTCACCAATAGTGATATTGATACTTTATTGTGATATTGGCCTTAATAGTATTGGGTTCCAGGTGACTATACAATTGTGGGATGCTTTACTGTGAGTCTGTGACATATAACTTGGCTATATATCGGAACAGTGACGATTCTGTCACTGTTTATCAACTTTTTTACTTAAATGTCACGCGGACAGTGTTATTTTTCAATCTGCCACGGGGCAAGTTCGCTTCTGACACAAGCGACCTCGGTTTGCTGATGTGTCAGCCTCCTGGTGGTGTCAGAGTTCGCTTCTGTCACAGGCGACCTCGGTTCCAACAATATTTTAACCAAGTTCGCCTACATGGTAGGCGAACTTCATTTTTTTTAATTTTTTTTTAAATTTAATACTTGTTATCCACTAAAAATGTGACACGTCAGCAAACCGAGGTCGCTTGTGTCAGAAGCAAACTTGTCCCCGTGGCAGATTGGAAAATAACATTATTCGCGTGGCATTTAGGTAAAAAAGTTGGTGAACATTGACATTTTACAATCAGTGCCTTCCTTAGTACAGTCATTCAATTTACTCATTTAAGAACAAATCAATTAAATTAGTTGAATGTGATTTTTTCACAAAGGTTGCTACATCAATATGATTGTAGGATTTTTTTTTTTTTTTGAGTATTAGGGTGGATAAGTGGCTATCTAAAAAAATAAAAATAAAAAAGATAACAAAAAAGACCGTTCATTAAAAAATTCTCAGCTGGTCCACTGAATTTGCCTGCCTGTAGCCCATTCGAACTTGGAAACTTCTGAAGAGACAACCAAAACTCAAAAAGTATTTCCATTTTCCACATATCCTCGTGGACGGTTTTACCCCTGAACGACCTTCTGCGAAAGCCATAGGCAACTCCAATCCAACATACCCAGTGACCGACCTTCTTCCTCATCTCTAACTACTTAGTTGTCTTCTATCAATGCCCTCTCTTTCTTGGAAATAACCACCCAATAATCCCTCTCCTTTTCCCACTCTATACATACCACATTTCCTTCTTCATTCACACCCTCTCACCCATCCTCTCTTAATCTCTCTCTCTCTCTCTCTCTAGTCTCTTGCTTCATCCATTCACCATGGCATCACAAAACCCAGAACCCCATTTCCATGATTACTTGCCTTTCATGGCCAACAAGCTCGGTGGTGACGGCCTCATAGACGAGCTCTGTAATGGGTTCAACCTTTTGAAGGATTCTGATAAAGGGGTCATCACTTTTGACAGCCTCAAGAGAAATTCCGCTTTGCTGGGCCTCAACGGCTTCACTGATGAGGATCTTCGCTCTATGCTTAGGCAAGGTGACTTTGATGGCGATGGTGCGCTCAATCAGTTGGAGTTCTGTGTCTTGATGTTTAGGTTGAGCCCTGAACTTATGGAGGGCTCTAAGTTGTGGTTAGAGGAAGTCCTTCAACAAGAACTTAGAGATTAGTATTCTTGATTTTATTATCTTTTTTTTTTTGTTTTGTGTTTCTTTTCTTCCTCGTTGATTGGTCACTTTTGGAAATTGTCCCATTTGTATCATGTGACTTGTGAGGATGAAAAGAGAAAGAAATGAAATAGCATTTCACATTTCTTCGATGTATATATTCCTCTGTTCACTTCAATTATTATGCCCTATGCTGCTGTTTTAGTTAACATGAGATGTGTGTTTGTACCTCAAATAAATACTAACCATGCGTATTTATTCATTCTTAAAATTGAATGCGTATCAGCAAATCAAAGGCCATTGGGCGTACATTTTTGTAGCTAATTGACAAATGAGTTAAACTCATATGAGTTCGATAATTCAATTAATTTTATTACATGACCTATATTCAAAAGAATAAGAAATCCTTACCTTAATTTTATATTTTGAGACTTTTTGGTGAGGAGGACCAAACCAGATTCTTTTGCTGGTTTATACGACATACTGGTGATTGCCTAGATTTGTTGAGTGCAAAGTTGAAACTGGTTAGGGATTGGCTACCACTGGATATATAGTTTTCATGTATACAACAGTATAAAGATAACAAAACTGGATAACTTTACCGAAAAAATTGGATGACTTAAGTACGACAAAAGTTCAAATTTTTAAGTTTTCTTTGAATCAACAATTCAACTTAAATATCAATTTAATCCATTTTCACCATCAATTCATCCGTGAAAATATGTATGGTTATATGCCAAACATCTCTGGTTTTAGGCTTTTAGCCTTCAACAAACTTTATTTTGAACTGGTTGTGATTCTGTCCAAATTAGCAGCCAGCTACAATCTTGGCTCAATTGACCTAAAAAATCTACTAAAGTGGAGAAGAGTTGACCAAAGATAAAAGCGAGTCTCTTGTATTTGTCACTAGTCCTTATGGTTCATTGACTTTTAGAACTGATTAGATCTATTTTATGTTCAATGGATCCGTTGATGAATATCGTTTCTGAAATAGTAGGTGTGGAATTTGATCGCTCTTGTACACCATTATTGACGTTCCGTTTGTGGACCTACTTCTGAATTATTGATGCATGGCTTCTGGGAGTGGCATATATGCATGTACCTCCTTGTAGCCCCAATGTCTCTGGAATGAAACACTTCCTTCAAACATTAGTCTAAGGAACCAGTAGTAGGAAGAGAGACAATCCCAGGATGTGTCCATACAGATTATGTGTTAATTCATTCTTCACTTTACCAGATTACCTAACAAAATGGGGAAGTTGAAGCAAAGTGTGAACAAAGTGATTCATTGAGATGATCTCAACCATTCTTAATGATCTTCTTCAGTTGTTTTATGGCACCTGAATATTATGCCATTAATGAGCTGTTCTCAGTAAAATCTGATGTATTCAGCTTCGGTGTATTACTGCTAAAGATAGGATATGGAAAGAAGAACAGAGGATTTTCTCATTCAAACATGGATTTAATGTCTCTTATCTTGTACACACATAAAAGTGTGTGAGGCCTTTTATAAACTCTTGAGAAACATCAAAGCCTTCAAATGTAAACTCTTACTGAACATGTAAATAAAAATGAGTTTATTTTTTCAGTTACAACTTATAAGTAAAATCCGTTGGGAATTAAAGGCCTTTTATATGTTTTAGGCATGGAGATTTTGGAAAGAAAGAAGATCTTTAGAGTTGATTGATTCGTGCATGAATTTATTTATTCTATCAAAAGCACTGCTGTGTATCAATATCAATCTTGTATCTGTTCAGCGGCATCATGAAGATAGGCCTACAATGTCAACTATGGTTATCATGTTGATCAGTGACAGGGAAACTGACTTGCCCCAATCTAAGCAGCATGCTTTCCTTATGGATAATATCTTACTTAAAGCCAATTCTTCTGGCAAGCAAAAGTTTTCTTCAGCCAATGGAATATTACCATGTCAGGGTCTCGATAAAAAAATCACTCCTCGTTAAACTGACTATAGTGTTTAACTAAATCCCTACTCTGGAAAACTAATTTGTGGAGGACTTCTATATATTGCTTTAGCACCCACTTAATCTACTTTGAAGCAGATGATGGCTTGTAAATACAGAATTTGTAAATACAGAATGTGTAAGTACTGAAGATATTTCCGCCTAGTTGATTTCCTACATATGCAAGCAAGATTAGGTGTTAGATTTCAACTCATTCGATAAACTAAGTACCAATTACACTGGGGGATTCTCATATTCACCTTCACAAACAACTGCAGCAATATTTAAGGCAGCTCCATCTTCAACATAAAAAATGTGAAATTTGTTAAGTTATTTTTCACTAATACCTTGCAACTTGATATTCTGTACGCCTTCTTGAGGCCATCAATCTTTTATGCTTCAGTTACACTTTAGGTTGGAGTCTGCTAGTTACAACAATTTAAGCACAGGTTTGGTAACAATTATTTTTAAAAAAATAATATTTTTCTAAAATTCTTTCCCAAAGGTTGTAACTAAATTTTTTCTAAACACAAAATAAGTTAATCCATGTTATTTGAAGACAGTGAGTGATATTATATCACTAAGAGGTTTGAACCCATGTACAGAACAGAGGAGATTAATAATCAGAATTATCATACGCAGTGCAATTATGAAAATTAGAACAGACTTATTTGATGTCAGTATAATGGAACAGACAGATGAATTTATGTAGAATAGTGGAAAAATTCGAGCCCACAGAATGTGTCTCCTTAAGACAATTTGCTCCCCTCACTGATGCCAAAGGTTAATGGACAACTGTCTCCCAAGATAGAACGAATTTTGTTTGAGGAGTAACGGCACTACCAGTCAACATCACAAACGAACATAACAATATGCCAGAGGAAAGTACACTGAAAAACAGGAAGGAGTATGCAAACCGGAAGAAGAAAAAATTCCGGCAGAGTAACAGTGCAGAAAAATTTGGATAAAATTTCTGATGGTGTCAGGGTCTATTTACAGATACTGACCGGTCACAATGAATTGCAATCGGCGGCGAACCGCCATGACTGACGGTCGCGACCGGTTCGGGTCAAAAAGCTCAAAAACCGGCGGGTAGAGACGTTTGATTTTGGAAAAAATGGAGGGAAGCAACGGATAGTCATAGGGGCATTTTGGATAAAAATAATTTTTATTTTACACACACGTATGAACCGAACCGACTCAATTCGAGTCGAACAGACGGACGGCGGCGGCGGCGCGTGTGTGGTGGACCCAAGCCCACCTAGCTCCTCTCCCCTTTACAAAATGTTTAGTGACCCAAGGGCCAATTTAGGAGTGTGAGGTGAGAGTTTATAAACTCTCTCACCTCCTACTAATTGTCCAATGTGGGACTTCTTAAACCAACACATCCCTTCAACTTCTGTTTTCTTCCTTAACCCACTTCTTATTCATAACCAATAGATTGCCTATACAATTTCTATATAAATTCCAAAAATCTCCCACATGGATAAGAAGTCAATTCATCGTGACTAAAAATGTTTAAGAATATAAATGCAAAGTGTAATTTCCTCAACGAGAAACAACTGCATCGAGATAGGTAGAGTTACATTTGAACCTTCTCTATTGAAAACCTATCGGATAAACTCGGTCAATCGGTGGTCTGGGTGACTTGAACCGTCGACCTTTAGTGTATAACTAGAATATAGGAGTCACACAATTTCTTCTCTAGCATTGTTGGTCCTTTGTTGTGCCCATTTTGGTCGTGGGACACCTGCCTGGTTCTGCAAGTATTTTAGAGAATCGGCCTTTAAAAAAAATTCATAGAAACGGCCCTCACTTCACACTCACATAGGTGATTTCTTGTGATGTAACTCAATATACATCATTTGAACATAACAGATTAAGAAATCATTAAAAGCCTAAATGCTTACCCTCATAAATACACTGTCTTGTGATAGGAATGAGTATGAGTTTAGACACTCCACAATGTTTTAACAGTCGAACATCACTTAGTTGTCTCTTTGAACCTAGTTCGTGGGATCTCCACTCATCAAGGTAGAGTTACCGCAATGATCAACAATTGATAGGACTTAAACCCATTCCTTTCGAAAAATTATCAACTAATTCTCTAGGAATCCCTTTAGTTAACGGACCCACTATTTTCTCTTTAGACTTAACATAGTCAATTGTAATGATTCCATTCGAGAGTAGTTGTCTTACGGTATCATGTCTACGACATATATGTCTAGACTTACCATTATACATGACGTTCTTAGCCCTTCCAATAACTGCTTGGCTATCACAGTGTATGCATACGGCTGGTACAGATTTTGGCCAATTAGGAACATCCTCAATAAAATTACGAAGCCATTCGGCTTCTTCACCAGCTTTTATCTAAAGCAATAAATTCTGCTTCCATGGTTGACCTTGCAATGCAAGTCTGTTTGGACGATTTCCAAGACACAACACCCCCACCAAGGGTGAACACATATCACCTGTGGATCTAGTGTCGTTAGAGCCGGTGATCCAATTTGCATCACAATACCCTTCTATAACTGCGGGATATTTCTCGTAATGCAAAGCAAAATTTTGAGTGTACTTCAAGTATCCCAAAATTCTTACCACGGCTTTCCAATGATTTTCATTTGGATTACTAGTAAAGCGACTTAACAGACTTACTGCATAAGCAATATCAGGTCTGGTGCAGTTCATAACATACATAAGGCTTCCCAACACTTGAGCATATAGCTTTTGTGATGTAACTTTACTATTGTTCTTTAATAAACTAAGATTAGAATCTACGAGATTCTTCACAGGGTTTATATTCAAAATTTTGAATTTCTCAAGAATTTTAGCTATATAGTGAGCCTGTGATAAGGCCATCCCTCCAGATGTTCTATGGATTTTATTACATAGGATAACGTCTGCTATCCCCATATCTTTCATATCACATTTACTTTTAAGTAATAGTTTAGTAGCTTTAATCATTTGATTATTGCTACCCATTATCAACATATCGTCTATATAAAGACAGACAATGGAAAATCCTTTCTTAGTATTTTGAACATAGACACATTTGTCGCATTCATTAATTCGAACATAGACAATGGCAAATCCATTATGCAAAATAGTGAAAAAATTTGAGCCCACAAAATGTGTCTCCTTAAGATAATTTGCCCCCTCACTGATGCCAAAGGTTGATGGACAAGTGTCTCCCAGGATAGA